AATCGTTTCAAGCCACAATCGTAATTGCGATTAAAATGCGATTAATTGAGCAGCCCTACGAAGCACACAGCAGAATTAAAAGATGGAATCAGTGCATTTACCTGTAAAACACACTGAAGAACACATAAACCCCGCAGAAGAGCAGGAAGTCTTTGTAGAGCAGCTTGTAGATGCTTCCCTTCCACCTCAGCAGCAGCCTGCAGAAACCCCCAAATCGAGCGTCGGCCACCTCAAGAGTGTAAGAAACTGTCATGTCTGGGTTCGCTACAGCTGAATAATCCTGGAAGATATCAATATGTGATGCATGGATCACGATGTATACATTATATTACAACAATCTCCCTTTAAAATACAATATTCATTCAGTGTCTCACCTGTGAATGTAGGTGAGTCACCTGGTGCGGCCGTCCTGGGAGGAAGAGCTATTCCTCTGGCTCTCGATTTAAACCTCTCTGTCGTCATCATAAATTAACTTTACTAATTTATTACCTGGGAACCTGAAGATACACACCTCTAGTAACTCAGCGAGTGTGCAGTTGTATCCTCGAATGGTAATGTTAGGGACTTATTGTGTGTGATCAGATAACATTTATCTTTGATATAAAATATGAAGACAGAAGCAAATTCCCCCAGTGTTTAAAAAGTATTGATTACAGTTCAATTCAGTTCTTTGATCAAAGTTGATATGAGAGTTTTTGTTTTCACAGAGCTGTAAATGTCCAACATGATTTAGACCGGATTTTCTGGACTTTTTATGAATGATTGATCTACAGATTATTTTCATAACTAAGTCAATAGTGTGGGAGTAAAAAAGTGTTGGAATATAATAAAAAGAAGATTAAGAAAAAGAAAGAAGAATATAGTCATACGAATAATCATCACCATAATAAGGTATATAATAATAATAATAGGTTTTGTCATTGTTTGTTTGTTTGTTTTGAAAACTTGAGTGGGTATGAAATATAACATGACAACCACCTCTGTTGTTCTCTTATATATTCATATTTTACTTCATATATCCTTTTAAAAGAAGTGTTTCCCATTAATTAATTAATTAATTAATTAATTGTATCTCTGTTTTCTTTGTGTTGCTAATTAATTCCTTAGTGTCATGTTGAAATCTTGAATGTAATGTAATTTTACCCCTACTCTAATACAAAATTATTCAACAGAAAAATATGTAGAAACAACGCAAAAGAGGTTTCATTTTCTATTTAATATTGATTTGAACTTTCCCTTACAAGAAACTTTGCTAATGTAAATAAAAACACCCACACAAATATAAAAGACAGATATACAATAATCTCAAAAACACAGTTCACAAGAAACAGGAAGTAACATAGAAGGTTAAGCGTAGCCCTTGATGGTTAAAAACAGTTATGTATATTTTTATTTTGAGAGTATAAAAAAGTCTTTTCCCACATATCCGTTCCAGATTCTTCTAAAATCAGGACACTCTGACTTCTGTTATCTGAGAGAAACCGATGCCTGGCCACAGAAAATCAAATAACCCACAGATTGATTTGCACAGCAGAGTTATTTACTGTCCGGTGATAAAAACACGTTTACAGCGTCAGATGAGTTCGTCTCTCCGTCTGTTGTCATTGGCTGCTGTGCTCTGCTCACTTGTTTGTTTTTCACATCGTTACGGAGTGTGTTGTAAATCTGTTTTATCCTCTGTTTGCTCTCCACTCAGCTGACAGGATATTTACGAGACCGTCTATCCTCCATCAGAGCCGGAAAGCTGATCCCTGTGGACTTGAGGACTTCCCTTTATTATTTATCAGCAGAATGTGAGCCTCACTGACTATAGATTTAAGTCAATGCATTTATTACGTATAGATTTATGCATCATCTTAATAAAGTGTTTTTTCTTTGGCTGATAAATGACAGATGTAGTTCCTGTCACTAGAGGGCGCTCTCGTTGAGCAGCAGGCTCTCAGCAGGCTCTCAGCCCTGAGGCCTGTCGTCTGTATTTATCTCATAAACAAAGACACATTAAGGCTATTGACAGAAAACAGTGAAAGAGCATCTGACACATTTAATGTCATGCTCATTTAAAACCCTGAAAGAACAAATCAGCTGTTTGTACTCCATATTATTACATTATTACAATTTCCTATAATGTTAATTGCTCTTTTTCAACTGAAATATGCACTAGTGGACTAAGAACACATGCTCAAGTCCTGTTAATAAGTATAATTGAAGTACCTTAGTTGACTATTAGAATACACCTACTACATTTTGGAGTCAAATATTATACTTGACACAGATAGTTATTGTGCGGATTCAGATTATTGATACATAAGTGATAAGATGTATATCGACTGTATTGGCTGACTGTTTTTCTTGCAATTAAACATCCAACATGTTGGTGGGTGGGAGAGTGGTGGGATTGAAATGAAGATTTTGATTTGTCAGCATGTGTGTATATATCTTTACTGAATCTGTATCACTTGCTTTTGTTAAAAAACTGAGAAAATCAATACAAATATTTACCATAAAAACACCCAACATGTTAAGCTCCTCTCTACTGTCTTATTCCTGAGATATCCAGAAATGATGCCCACTGGTATATAAAGTATTTCAAAAATGAATATCACATGATGTCATACATATTACTCTGAAATGGACTATGCAAAATATCTTCTGTACTTTGATTTTGAATGCAAATTTTCCTTGTAACATTTGCCCACTGTTGAATTGTTACTACTTAGGTTAAATATCTGTTTGACACAAAAATATAATGCAAAAACTGATTTACGCTTACTTTCCACTTTTTCATGTGTGTCCCATTTTAATCTAGAGCAGGGGGGTCAAACTCAATTTCATCACGGGCCACAGCATTATGGTTGCACTCAAAGATCCGGTTGTAACTTTAAGACTTCATAAAAATACATATATAAATATTTAACATATATAAAATAATGTATTATATAATTACATTATTGCCTCTGCATTGGATTATCATCGGATAGGGTAATAACTTCATAATTAACTACGTCTGAAAGCAGAAGTCTGGGGCAAATAATTGCAAGTCTCTTCAGTGAGAATGTCACAAAATGATTTAAAAAGAAAAGCCAATTTCTGAAGAAAAAATCCAAAATCCAAAAGTGACATTTTAGAAGAAAAAAAGGCAAATTCTAAGTAAAAGTCAAATTTGAGATGCATTGTGGGACATGTAGTTTATGGGCAATGTGCTTCTGTAAATCGGCATGTAACCGTATAATAAACATATTACATTCTTTCAGAGCTCTTGTGGGGCCACATGAAGTGAAGTCACGGGCCGGATTTGGCCCCCGGGCCTTGAGTTTGAAACCCTGATCTAGAGTCAATGGTTAGACTTGAATCTTGATTTATAGACAAAATAAACTCCCATAAGCCAACATAGATTTAGCTTTCCATCGGTTCCTGCTAATATATTTCCGGTCTTGTAATGGATTTCCTGGTCCTTGGTTTAGGCTTTTGAGAACAGGACGGACTGATCGTATTGGGTTTCCTAACGCGGTAATTACAACTTCCCACAGCGAGGTGAAACTAGAGCTCAAAGTGGGATTTGAGTTATCTGGGGGCGGCCCGGGTCATTGTCGGTTCAGAAAGATACGAAAGGCCACAGAAAAAAAGGTTCAATGAAAAGATCTGGAGCATGCAGCAAAATAATAAAATATTTAGTTTTTCTTTCCTCTTTGTTTGTTGTCATCATCATCATACACTGAGGCACACATCTGGGAAAAAACATTTAATTTTCTTGCAACAATAAACATTTCGTATATAAAAAACAGTGAAGATAGTGCATCTGCCAGAATAAACAATATCATATTAATCAGTGCATCATACCAGTATACCCATTTCGTTTCAACAGACAAGGATCACTAATGCTACTATGTGAAAGTAGAAACAAACAGAGGATAAGGACTAATTTCACTTTACAAATGTTGAGGTCATAGGTCTTATTACTCTCAGCAAGTTTGGACCAGAAACCAACATCAAAGTCTCTAAAATTGTCGATCCAGATTAATAATTTATTCTTAATGTAACATTTGAAGGCCTAAAATAAGTCAAGTTTTAATTTATTGAACCTAAAAGACATGTTTTAATTGATACCGGCAGTTAGCTTAGTCTAGTTTAGCAACATTACAGCACAGCAGGCCTGAACATTTTGGGATTTATTTGACACTTTAACAAGAAAAATACTTGTAATCCCAAGACTTTGGAGGCTGGTGTGCTTTTTTTTTAGCCTTTAAAAAAAAACAACAACACAAGAACAAAAGTAGACCGTGTTTATATGCGGTATCGTCATCGCTAGCATGAACACTGGTAGCCAAACGTTACTTTCAATTTACCTAGGTAAGTACATGTGCCAAAAAATGGCTAGTGACATAGTTTCAGAACAAATAACAAGCCTGTATTTGTCAAGCCAATTCTTGGAAACATCTGACAGTTAACAATAAGATAAACCAAATAAATAATGCTACCAAGAGAATGGTAAAACTACTTTTGCCTAGTAGCTACAATACACTCACATTTGTTATATCAGGTTATTTCTCTGTGTACAAAATTACAAAAAGCAACATTCACTCATTTGTCTGCTTGTCTTTTGACCTAAGGGCCACTGGCAGTAAACCTCACAGTGTCTATAAATACATCTTTAATGGAAAAAACTTGATAACCCCACTGGAAAATATACCTCCGGCGTTTTAAATTCCAGGAAGCTCCACACCCTTCAGGCTACACCCACTTTCTGTGTGTCCGTCTCACTAAACACAAGCCAATTAGCGTTCTTGTGAGACGTTTCCCACAACTTGGATGACCCTGATTTTTTTGTTTTTGTCTTCTGTGTCTCCGGTGTCATTTTGTGGTAGAACCATTGCACAGAAATGCTCTGTATCTCAGGTTACTTTACAGAGATTTGTATCTTAAAACTAGCATTCCCCTGCATTTAGATCTGACTGCGCTGATTGTTTCCAACATATACGCACATTTAGTACGTGAGTGACGTATAAAAATGTAGACTCCTCGCCTAAGCTTTACATTCCACATTTCACAATGAATTAACTGTTGGCCCTGCAATTGGATTAGTCATTGTTCATTTGTGGATGTGCAGCTTAAAGTGAAGGATCCAGAACATCCTGTATGCAGTACAAGTCAAACTGGAAAGCCTTAAACTATTACACTTGGGTGAGGTAAAGGAGAGTGCACACAAAAGATTGCCTGACTTCGATTAATAATGCTTTTAAAATATGTCCTGCTCTTTGAAATACAAGTGAAAACAATATGAAGTGTTCATTTGCGTGGAGTGCAACATCATAAATGTCTGTTTTTTCCAGAGAAAAAAAGCGGGCCTCCCTTTCAAACGTCACTGCGTTCCTCAGGTCCCACAGGAACAGCTCCGGATTAAATCACTTCCTCTTACATTGTGATAGCACATCTCTCTCTCAGACAATAGACAACTTGATTACACACACACACACACACACACACACACACACACACACACACACACACACACACACACACACACACACACACACACACACACACACACTTGCCAAGAGTTAGATGAGAAGAAAGATGCAGGTTCTCAGAGACAGGATTAGCTTAGCCTAGCTTAGCATGTCCCATGTTCCTATCTTATTTATATAAACTAACATATTCAAATATTGGTAAGGGCTGTATTTGCAGAGAACATTGTAAACAAATAAAGGGAGATGGACGATTCAAAAGAGGTTTGAATGGTAAAGATCTTTTAACCCGCACAGCCATATATCACAACTTTGGTGACTGACTAGCGCTAGCAGTTTTCTTGTTAGCTGTTAGCTAACCAGCTACAGTAGCTTTCAAACTAGCTCTGCAAAATAGTGACATCTTCAAAAAGCTTCTAGCCTTGCCTAATTCAAAAAGAGTGGGTGGATAAACTTAAACTTGACCACTTTCTGGTTTCAACAAAGCTCACTCATTTCTAGGTTGTATCTAATAAGTTGAATCGACATGTAGAAACAAACACAACACAGTCATGCTAGCCGTTTCCCCTGCTGCCAGTCTTTATGCTAAGCTAACGGCTCTATACTTTAAGCCCCTAAAAAACTTGGTTTCAAAACTTAAGTTTCTCTTTAAAATGAATGTTTATCACTAAATAAACATTAGCCAAAGTTTAAGTAAAGGAACATATCCATATTTTGCAGTTCAACACTCAACGATGTTCAAACCAGTGAAAAGAGCACGGATAAAAACAAATGCAGAAATCTGTGAGTGTGAATTAACTGAACTTTGCTGCTGTGTTTTTTGTATTTTTGTACTTCTGGCACAACAATTTCCTTCGGGATAAATAAAGTCTTATCATATCTTAACAACGTTTTTGGTTTGACTCCAAACCGAGAAGCTGATTGAGCAAATAGATTTTAGTAGGGCTGCAACGATTAGTCGACATAATCGACGACGTCGATCATAAAAATTCGTCGACGCGGAATTTTAGTGTCGACGCGTCGTATAAAAACAATCAGAGAGCCGGTAACGTTAATTCAAAACTGCGCAAATGTTCATTTGTAACTGCAATGCACTACAGGAAGTGCTGGGGGCAGTATACTCTCCATTGTCTGCCATGACTGCATTCTGTACTAACAACAAAGAAGAAAGAATACGAACGATGGCGGAAAGGAGAGAGAATGAGGGTGATGAAGAGCTCAAAAAAGCGAGACCGAGAGTTTCGAAAGTGTGGAAGTATTTCACAGACGACAAGCCAAAGAAGTCAGTGAAATGCAGAATTTGTAAAGGGGAATTGGCATTCCACGGCAGCACTACAGTGATGCACGAGCATTTAAAACGCAAGCACCCTCGAACCGTGAGGACTGCTACTTTGGATCATGGGTAAGTTTGAGCAAGTTAGCCATAGTCATGTTTACGTTAGCTTACATGTCGGAAAACAGAACGTCTCATGGTTAATGCTTGCTAAGCAAACGCTATTTCAGTTATGTTGAGGCTGCGTGTCCACCAACGAGCTGCTCAACAGCGCCAAGCTTACAGCGTAGTAGAGCACACTAGAGCTTTATGGACGCTGTAATTAATTCCAAACTTAAAATAATCGTTAGATTAGTCGACTAATCGAAAAAATAATCGACCGATTAGTCGACTACCAAAATAATCGTTAGTTGCAGCCCTAGATTTTAGAGAACTTTAAAACAAACATATAGGATTAAAATCTTCTCATGTGACTCTTGTAAAAAATTATTTTGACCTGGTGTCACGAGAGGCTGACGTTCTCATACTCTCCGTGGTCCGAGTCCTCGAGCTCGATCCCGGGCACCAGGCTGTAGTACTCGGTGCTCTGAGTGAGGTACGCCTTCTCTCTGTCAGTCGAGTCCTTCATCACCTCCGTCACGCTCACCGTGTCCAGCTCGGTCTTCTTGGTCCCTTCAGAGCCCGGAGGAACCTGCTTCCCCTCTGACGAGCAGATGGAGGTCACAGGAGGAAGAGACTCCACCGAACCCAGCTTAATCTCCACCTCTTCGTAGATGTCTCTGGTGCTGCCCAGCAGGGTGGAGGCTGGGCGGAGCAGCAACTGGTTCTTCAGGATCCCCTCTTTGTGTTCGGCTTTATTCTGATCGCCAGGCGTAGGTTTCTGCTTGCCGCGATGCTTCTGGCCGATACTGGAGTTGGTAGCTCTCTTTTTCGAAGTGCTTAATGACGCTTCCTTCTTCTTCCTCTTCCTCCCGCAGCACCAGCAGAGCACCAGGGCAGAGAGGATGAGGAGCGGCAGCACGATGAAGAGCGCGGTGAGACCAGCTGGGCGGCACACGTCACTGATTCTCACCGAGAACACCGTCCTGCCGGCCAGGTGCCGAGGAGTCACGCAGGTCAGGTTCCTCACCAGATCCTGCATCTTAACGGTCCTGTTCAACTTCCCAGCGTCCTCCAGGCCTTCCAGTAACAAACAAGAGCAATCCCACGGGTTCCCATCCAGATCCAGTGTTTGCAGACGGGGCCTCACAAGCACAGAGTCTGGGAGGAGGCGAAGCTGGTTCCCCTGCAGATTCAGCTTCTGGAGGACGTCTGATTCCTGGAGGAAACCCTCAGGCAGCTCCTGAATCAGATTCCCGCTCAAATCCACCTCCGTTAGCCTCGGCTGCCCGCTTAGAAACCCCCTCGGCAACACTGTGAGTCTGTTATGACCTAAGAGAACCCTCTGTAAGGTAGACACGTCTTTACCGGTCATATTAACAGAGCTGATATTACAGAAGGAGAGATCCAGAGTGTTAATGTTCGTCTCGTTGGTAAACACAGACCAGTGCACATGGCTGAAAGTGGAGCCGGAGTAGTTCAAGCAACAGGCGTCAGCAGGTATCTCAAAGGGAAAGTGGGATAAAACAGTGGCTTCTGGACACACACATGCTCCCACAGGTCCCATCTTCAACAGGAACAAGAAGATCAGCTGGACGCCACGCTGGGAAGGCATCTCTGAAACCGAAAACACAGACTGTCACTTCACCAGAATCACTTAAGAATCCATCTTTCTTTCTCTCTTCTTACCTTCCTGCCTCCTGCCTCTCCTTCTCTGACTGGATCAGCTTTATGAAGGCTCACGGTTGTAAACCTAGCGATTTCTCCGAGGACTCCTTGTTGCCGTGAGGATTGGGGGGGTTGGCATGGTGATGCGGGTCACTGGGGATCAGGAGTCCAGTGTTTGGCTGTCGGAGAGGAAACAGATGCCGCTGTGAGTTTCACGTGAAGGCTGTGCTCTTAATTGGCAGATGGAGGTTGTACAAACGTTACCTGAAGGCAAAGATGGAGCCTGAAGAGGTTCCGCCAGCAGGTTATTGTGTTTACTTAGAGTGGAAGGACCCTTAAATCTGATGTTAAGAGGATAACATATATATATTTTGAATTCATGGATTTATTTTATATTTTAGGCTCCTTCTAAATAAAGGAAATTACCTGTCAATGAAACTAACGTGTCATTAATTGGCTTGTTAAGAATGTTTATCCATCTTATCTTAAAACAAATGGCTTGTGTTTTCAGTGATTCAGAAGTCACTGTTAATGAAAGATTCATCCTTTATCTTTTACTTTTGACTGTCTAAGTCTTTCCATTTGTTCAACGATCACTGTACATGATGATTACTATGGTGAAAAACCAAACAGGGAATGGAAGCTTTTATAAACCATCTATCTTTAAAGCCTCCATTGACAAAAACACTAATTTGACTTGCAGAGTACGGTAGCTGCTGGTCTACCGCTGCCTCGAAGACATCGTTTGTTTGTGCTTTTGAGTTACTTTGGGCAATCCTAACTAACTAGAGTCACAAAATAACACAAACACACTTACCGATCGACACAGGGGTAAACCCGCAGCTCTCTTGTTCTGAGAGGTAAAATTACTGTTTTTGTCGATGGAGTTTGGTGGGATTTGAAGAAACCATAGATTACAGCTTTTTATGTGTTTTAGGTGAGCTTTTAAAAAAAAACATGGCTACATGTTTTGATGCTTTTACATTGCTCTGCTTCCATGTCCATATTACTGTCTGCCTCTCTAAACTGGGCGTGTGCCAACCGCAGTCAACTGTATGTAATACACCGACTATAACTAAGTACCTCATACATCCCAGCTTCAAAACATACAAACTATCCCTTTAAGATTATCGTACAAGCACGCAAAACATCAAAACACATTACAGTAGAAAACAGCATAATTTACTTTAAGGAGGTCGAAGAAGGTCCTTCAAATAATGTGAAATTCCCTAAACTCACTGTAATTCATGTAGAAATGACCCCTGCATGGCTATTTCAGTGTCATGTTTGATACCGTGTGTCTACTTGGCAGACCGTAACATGACAACATTTGGGAAGTCCTATAATTGAAGAGATTAAAAAAGTAATTGCTGGGCACTTCCTAAATCTCCTATGTGTTCAGTGACGCTGCCTGAACATAAAAGCATGTGTGGTCGACATAAACAAGGCCTGTGTTTTCTGACTCTACATGTGAAGCAGGCAGGAAGAGAGGGAGTGTGTTTGGTCATCAGACTTCCTCACACACCACAATGGAAATCTGCTCCACAGTCCGGAGGCAGGAATGTGCTAACACCCCAAACAGCACCAGAGGACAGTTTAAACGGGAGCAATGTGTCCGCTGGGATCATCCATTAACCAAAGAATCAATTCACCTGCTGATGACAAAACACTATTTGCAAAGACGTTATCAGTTAATGATAATCTCAGCATGCTAACAAGCTCAATAATGATGACGCTGGATTTTAGCATGCTAACATTAGCTAAACAAGTGCAGCTAGGGCTGATGGGAATGTTTGGACACAAAGCAAAGTCCTAGACATATTAAACATTTGATCTGATGAATGTGCCGAATGAAAGCTTTTGTCTCATTCACTAGGCAAGCATTCATCGTAAATATCTTTATCCAACTTATAGAAATAAGAAGACTACACATGTATTTTCAGCCTGGACTTCAGCAGAGCAGCAGAGAGTCTAACAAACGCAGGAAGTGTGCGTCACAGGAAAGAAACTCGGACTGTTTGTTTCTGGCAGAGATGATGTAATGTATCCAACACAGAGCAGAGAGGAGGGCTGTTTACGTTATCAAGAGTTATTTTCATTCTTTTGTGACACTGTACTTTATAGTAATCTAACATGGAGATAATCAGCCAAAACCTAGCAGTGGAAAGTGAGAACTATTATGACAACTCATTTTAATAAAGAATGAACAACCTCAAAGTGCATAAATGTGTTAAAACCAGCTCCACATTTACAAGCTGCAACATAAACGTGATTTAATGGAAGACCACTTTTATAATCAATAATATGAATCATGAAAATAATGATGTTTGTTTTGAGTCTAATGCTGATTTAGTTTTACTTATATATGTGTATAGGTGTTGTTGATGTTTTCATTCATGCCTTGAGTTTTCTTCCACTTCTGTCAACACTGAGTAATATTCAACCAGGTCGTTTTTTTCTCCGTGGTTCACAGCAGGTGAAACAGTTTATATTTCCGGCAGCAGACGGACGGAGAGCCGGTTGTTTGGATTAAATAAAAGAACAAAAGGTGGTTGATGTGAGAAATGACAGCTACCACAGCTGAACAAAGAGCAGATACACGTCCAGTGGAAGTCTCCATTATATTACAATATAGTCATCAACTTCATCTTTCTGCCCCTCATTAACTTCACTGAGCTCCCCCGTTAGTGGGTGTATTCAAAAAGACTTTAGACTTTAGTGACACATCATATGACAAATATTATGATGTCTTCCTGTTAAGCCCCATTTCCCCGGGGGCGGGGGAAAATAGCAACATCTGCAAGAAACAGCGTCGGAGGGCTTCTTAACATTTAAAAACCTACGAATGTGTCACACCCACTTAACGGGAAGAAACTCAGCTAACTGATGATATGAACCAAAACGAAACATAAGGGTAATAACAAAGGCTCTGAATTAGCCCTGAGCGAAAAAATGCTAACACACTTAGCACAGAACTCACGTAAAAATACCCTTATTACTTAATGAAAAACAGGCTCGGGGCTTAACAGGTTAACGGGAATTCAGTCTAAAGCTACATTATTTCATTCAAAATAACTTAAATGCTAAGTGACCACATGGGGGGCAGTAGAAACAAGGTGTTGATATAACATTGATATGTTATCACCTTTTAAATTGAAGACATGCATTTATGGTTGGAATAGCATACTGAGATCAACAATAACTTCAATTTAAGTTGAGTCTTTTCCCAAGAGATTAATTTAGTCAAATATTGTGTCCTTTCCAGCTGTGTTTAGCGGCTTAATGCTCCACTATATTTACCAGCTAGTCGATAACTTTTTCAGCGGTTTTATGCTTGACAGGTTGAGTAAACGTTTTCATTAAAAACAGCTAAACCAAACTGTTAAAGTTGTGGGACGTAAAACAACAAGATAAACAACAAGAAAAACAACAAGTTAAAAAACTGTAAAGCTGAGAGTAATAGCAGATACTTCTTTCACATACAGGAAGCCTACATGTTTATATACATTTATTTATTAAAGCAGCATTTTATTTCAGAGATATGTGACACTTATTGCTCTGTGATGCTGTTCGGTTCATTTGGTTCAATTTAAAGCAGGAATTTATTTTGAAATCCCCCAGAAAATAGAGATAGAAAGTCTGCTTTTGTTCTGCAGCGCTCCTTTAACAATCACTTGATGCAATATAGTTACATGTGTGATAAAATCGACCTTTTCAGATAAGGTTGTGTTTGCTTTTAATCTCAACCTTTCATTTCAAATGTTACCGTGTGAACTGAGCCTCCTGTTATTAATACACATTTCATATCCTCGTTATTTGCATGCTGCACTGCTCTGTCCTGACTGATAGCTATCAAGACAGAGACGTTATATTCAACATTTGAGGGAAAGGAAATAGTTGTATGAGGGTAACAATTTGCTTAGATTTGGATGCTTTGGTCGTAGTTTGATGTAAGACTGTGTTTCTAATTCCAAGCATTCACTAATTGAGATAAGTGTGGCTGGTAACAGAAAGAGTCTAAAGGTGAGAGTCGACTCACACGTTTCGCTATCTGACAGAACAGAGATCTGCAGCCACTCAGGTTTCTGCACAACAGTTTCAAGACAGCAGTGTGAATATCTGCAGATGAGCTTATCTTTGGGTAACAGTTAAGATAAGTCACAACTGATCACCTCTTTTACAATTTAGTGTTTGTTTGGAGAGACTCTATGGCTCAATTCATGGATTTTCAATCATAATAATACATGTAATTAATAATTACTCAAAGACACTTTACCTGAAGGTTTTTCAACTGCAACACTTGATCTCAAAGGGACATTACTCACAGACTCTTTTTTAACGATTTGAAAGAAGACTTTTTGGTTAATAATAATCTTTTTTTGCTACATTTTAATACAAATCCAAATATATGAAAGTGAATCCTAAGTTTCCTATTGAGTTTATTTCATTTGCAAAAGCTTTGAAGTTAATGAAAAACAAGAATGCAACAAAATAGTTTTGGACATGAAATCCCTAGACTCCTTTGCCTTTATTATTATTATTATTATTTGATATTGTAAAGTCTTGTTTAAGGATTCATTAAGAGTTGTAAGACTTTCACAGGTAATCTTGACTTTTGTTTTGTATCTGTCTTTTTTTGTATGCACCTTATTCCAGTCAATTATTGCGAACACATCTCAAAGCCATGTTGTTTTGTGCATTACAAATGAAAAACTTCATGAGACACTTGTTAAACTGAGCCTTGGAGCTGTGAGTTTGAAACCTCATAATCCAAACAGAGAGATGAAGTTCTCCTCTCAGGGTGTGAAGAGGAGTGAGGTTTAAATCTGGAGAACCTGATGTCACGCTCTAACAATGCGAGCAGCTACATCCTCTCTGAGGCACAGCTTCCTCTGACATATAACGGTCTCCTTTCATGCAGCTTTCATCATCAAATATGTTAAAAACCAGGGCTCCAGCACCACAAACCAGAGACGGACATTTCCTGAGGATTTCAGTTTCTAAACATTTAAGTTTTTAGGCCTAATTGTCTTAGTTCGTATACTTAATATCATTAAAATGCACAAATTCAAGGTAACGTAAATACAAAAGTAGTGAAGTTTCAGAATTTGTGTAGGTAGAAAAACAACAAAACACTGAACAAAACATTATCAAACAGTTCTACATCAATTAAATGCAAAAAAAACGAATTAATGAGTTAATTTAATGTACTTTCTTGTGTCTAGTCAAACATTTTTAAGGGGGTGTGGTTGAACTGTGGAGGACCATGGACTCATGACCTCCGTATCTGCACCGCTGCACAAAACACACCATAATATCACTATATCCCACCATAACAACAACTACACCCTTTGAATCAAAAGCAACACGTTAACCATGCATGCACACACCTGCTTGAGATATAAACACGTGTCTTCTTACCTGTTACGGTCATGTCCGCTGCAGGTGTTTCTCCGTCTGAAGCTGGAGAGAGATGAGACTCTTCTTCAGGTTTCAGTCTCCACAGCAGCGGTGAGTTCCTCCTCTGTTCCTCTTCTCTGCATCCCGGCAGCAGCTCCCCTCCTCGGGTCAGAGGGTGTGTCTCCCTCCGAGCGGAATGTGGACATACAGCTTCCAGATTGCTTGAGTGTTTGTGTGTGTGTGTGGTAATCATGTTTATTCACACACAGTGTTCGGTTAAAGTGCGTTTATCTTCGACTGAAACTGGCTGATTTAATCTTTACGTGTTTCAGTGACCGCAGAGCGCCCCCTGGTGGTTGTACTACGTTTATCATCAAACTGTTGAAAGTAAAAGTTCATGTTAATCTTATTGCATAATGATACAAGCATTTAAACCTTTTCAAATTGGTATTTCCACTATAGTTTCGTGGTTGAAAATGAGTTTCAATGACTTTGGCTACAAGTTTAATTGAGTTGATAAGTTGTTTTTTATTTAATAAGTCTAATCACTCAGGTGGGGTAGGTAATTTAGGAGAAACCAGCTCGAGTGCGCTAGAATTTGAAAATACACAACCGGAAAAAATATGCCACTTCGTTAAGGCTGACAGGCAGGTAGGCCATCCAGTTATTTTAGCCGTGCCGGCTAAAATGATTGGTCGTGCTTTTTACAGTACTACGGCTTCCACAGAGGACATTTTTTTATGATTTTTTTGTCAAAGCACTTCAGATATTCATTGCTATCGGGATGTTAAGAGCATTCCATGGAATATAACAACAAGTGTATCTGAAGTGAATTACCTACAACACCTTTTAATAAGAAGGAAACACAATAAATAAACATAACGGAATAACAGATTAATAAAAACCATGCATACAAGAGATACAGAATAGTTCAAAAACAACATTGTACATACGGTACGTGCTAAAACAAGTTAAAAGACTTCTGGGTAAGCAGTGTTTTTAGCCTCGACTCAAACGAGCTCAGCGTTGGGGAGCATAAACCTTATTGTGTGAGATGATAATGTGAATTACTCTTCAAATTACTTAATGTAAAAATCGTTTGGTTTCTTTTACATTAAAAACAAGTTACAATTTTCAAAAAGGTCTTATGTTTTTTATCGGGGGGAGGCCCTTTTTCCAGTTTAGAGCAATAGCCACTACAAATGTCTGTGCACGTCCCTGCTTTTTACAGCACTACGGCTTCCACAGATGACATTTTGTAATGGATCTTTTGTCAAAGCACTTCAGATTGCTATCGGGATGTTAAGAGCATTCCATGGAATATAACAAAAAGTGTATCTCGAGCCGGTTTCTCAAACGTACTTAGTTCATTTTCAGGTTTCCTTCCAGAAAGGTAATTAAAGTGCTTTGTTGACATACACACATTACTCTAGATTGTTTTGTTTTTATATTTCTCATTCATTTAGAATTTAACTTGGGGAATTTGATGCTATTTTAACATTTTAACGTCCTATTTTCACATTTGTTCCAAAATGACTTTGTTGTGTACTTAAATTATTTGTTCACACATTGCTTCATCAGTTGTCTATTGTAAATAACCTTTTCCCTTTATTTGCTTACAAAACATTTCCCATCCTTCATTATAACACTTTTCTAAATCTTCCTTCTATTTACTGAAGTGGCTTTTTGATTCAAAGTGAACAAAAGTTAAAAATAGCCCTACTGTGAACCATTCACTTTTTATTTCTTCAGAAAGTGAAGTGAGCTAATCTTTTAGGAAAACTAGAACTTTTTTAAGGCCTTCAGCTATGACCAATAGATGGCAGTATGTACCAGCACTCAACAAACTCAAACAAATCTGTTCACATACATTTACACACTTTTCAACAACAGAGGCTGATATAACATGAATTATTTATAAATAATTGAAAGATGGTTATTTTGATAATCTATTGATGTTACATTTCACCCTAAAATGCCCCAAACACTAACTGTTCCAGCTTCTCAAGGGTCAGGATTTGCTTAATTTCCTTGAAAGTAAACACAAAATGTTTTAATATTCTGCCTTTACATTTCAAGATGTAATCTCAGGTATTTTTCCCAGTTTTTAAACATTATCTAATTAATCATCATTAATGAAAAAACCATTGGGTTAAAGCACTAATACTAACGAACACAAACGTATACAAACAGATTTATTTGATAGAAAAGACAGGAGCAGTTTTTATAAAGTCTATATACACTGGTCAATGACAATAATGTGAAAATCTTTTGCTACAAAATTAGTGTAAACATTTTTTCTGGTTGGTCGTTTTTTTGACTCTGTGACGAGACAGAGTGCAGAGAACTTATTGTAAACAATGCACACCTCCCTCTCACTGAATAAAACACTGATACAACATGTGAAGAAACAAAAAGACAATATAAAAAGGAGATTATGCGACGCTGTTGATCGTTGTTAGGTTATATTGACACTTATCGAGTTGGCACCTCTCAGTCCATGGCAGAAAATCACAGATGGAATATTTTAGTGCAGTTTTTGTTGTTTCGTGTGTCAGTTTTAAGTCCCAGGAGTCGAACACACAGACTGTATTTATATCATATTTATATACAGACACTTGGTGGCAGTACTGCTACAGTTTATCCTCTTCTGCAGCAAACTGAAACTAGAGAAGCAGCTTCTCAACAACCCTTTGGACGCATGCTACAATCTTAAATAAGTATGTTGACGTTTCAGCAAAAGAGTATTCTATTATAGCAAAAACAAACTCCTCCCGTCACCATAGTTCGGCCTCTTTGCACTGGTTACCAATTTATTTTATAATCGATTTTATAATCCTACAGTACTTCCTGTCTCACGGTAGCCAAATGTTTTAGCGTACTGACATGTTGTTATCAACCCTCTCTTCTAACTCTCTGCAAGAAAACAAATGAGCATATCTCAAACTGCTCAAGTTGCGTTAATGCAACTCTGCTTTAACATAAACATTTCTTCCTTGTGGTTCCTTAAGGGGAAGCAACTAACACCTTTCACACCTCCAATGATCCGAGTTGTTGCAAATTAATATTAAAATATAACCCTATTCTTAAAGGTCCCATGTCATGCTCTTCCGGTTATTACCCGTCCCCTTGTGTGCTATGAAGGTTTCTCTGCATGTAAACGGTCTGCAGAGTCAAAACCCTTAAAGTACACCCTGTAGCGAGTAAAACTCTAAAACAGGAAATACCTTCCCAAAACGCCTCGTTGGTGAAACGTCATCATGACGTCATCATCCATTTGATTCTTCCGGGTACGTGCTTACGAAAGCACGTACCCGGAACTAAATGGGCCAATCCGTGGAGACGTTACGTTACACCCGCGGAGCCGTTACGTTAAGCCCTCACTGATTGGTCCAAATTGACCAATCCACACACACACTCAGTGCAGGCAGCTCTGCTGATTTCTGCTCCCTGCTGCAGGCTGATAACAGACAGTTGAAAGTTGAAATTCTCTCTGCAGACCCATTCTCACAGCGTTTATCAACCTTTAAACCTTTTTTTTACTCAATATCAAGCCACACTTATTGTTTTTATTTCGGCTGTGACTTTGTGTGTGTTCAGGTTGAGTTTGGCTGAGTTTGGCTGTGTTTGGCTAGGTATCGCTAAACAAGGAAACCACACCTCCACGGAGCTCAGCGCGATTCACAACTTACCGACCAATCAGAGCACACTGTGCTCACAGGGAGGGGAGGGGAGGAGGGGGGAGGGAGCTGCAGCGAGCCGTTTAGTGGAGAAAGTGAATAATGCTGAACACACATACTTTACAGAGATGCTGTTTGCGAAACCAATTTGAGTTTGGAAAATTGCACAGTATTTTTCTATTTTAGTATACCTCAACAATGGAATTATGATCAGTGGAAATGGCCACGACATGGGACCTTTAACTTTTCAGATTGCTTTCATTTGAATAAGGGAGCAGACACAAATTGGACACATCTGAAGTGTAACTTGTAGAGCAGAAGAGTGTTGTTTTGTTCTTTGGTATCTTCATTTCAAGAAACGTATATATTGGCCTTAGGTTTTAAACCACTACATTAAAAGATTGCGTGCTGAAAAATGACAGTATTTAACATTTAATTGAGACAGAATGAACCTTACTGGAGCCAGAGAATCAGCTACCTGTTTCTATCAGATCAAACTAACCAATAAAAGCTCATAGCTCATTCAGATCACAAATGCTGTGGTCATCTCTGAACAAAAAAGTCACCGCTATTAAAGACACTCTGACTTTAGTTATATTTTGCATTTAGTTTGAGCCATTAAAACTCCCACTGACACATTTTCTGCCTCCTTCAGCCTAGAATACACGTTGATTGTCTGCTGACACACACCTTACGTGCTGCCTTTAGTCTTCACAAAGACACAGAGATTTGGGCTTCAGTTCTTTTGGTTCTGGCCATCATGAGTCCAGGTAGATGGAGTAGATCTGGTTGAGGCAGCGGTCGACGCCTCCTGCCTGGAACAGGAAGCTGTCGTCAGAGTACCCGCCCCCCCCCTGCAGCTCCTGCAACAGGTCGAACCCTGAGGGACGGAAATGTAAATCTGTACACAACTCCTTTTCTTTCACGTGAAGCGGAGTGGGCAGGCAGTGGTCGTAGAGACGGACAACACAATCATTGGTTTATTGTTCATTCTATGACATCCGAAGCAGGAAGTCAATCAAATGTACAGTCGTCATAGAGGGGAGCTCGATATTGCTATATATATATATGTTTTACTTTAAGGCAGTCATGTGTTGCACAAATTAAAGTGACAGAAATACTTTAGTCAAGCATTAAAAAGACAGTCAGAAGTTTCCAGAAAAAATGTGTCTTGATGCATGTTAACTTTTATTTTGTATCCCGGTAAAGTGTCTTTGAGCACCAGTAAAAGCGCTGGATAAAATAAATATATTATTATGTTTTCATCCAATATGCTTACAGTATGTGAATATTAAGGAAACATGATGGAAATATTGTATTTATATTTCTTTAATGTATTCATTGCAATCCTTTTTGAATTTTCTTTTACAATATCACAAGCTTTTTTTCAGCTTAGTGTGAAAACATCTTCGGGATATTTCACTCAACCCCACTCGCTTTCTCACCTCCACACATCTGGCCCCAAGAGGTGTGGCGGGAAGAGAGGGTTTCAGATCCTCTAAGAAGCACTCTGATTGGAGGATATGGACCATTGCTCTGCGGTCTTACCTGTAGAGTGAGAGGTGGGGGGGTTTGAGTAGTAACCGGTGGGTTCGAAGCCCCCGTCGCTGCCTGGTTGAAGCGCCTTTCCCTCTCCGTACAGACAACCTTCAGGAAACATAGAAGTCAAGTCAAAGTCAACTTTATTGTCAATCTTTCAGTTTGTGTGTACAGACAGAGAGATCGAAATACCGTTTCCCAAATACAAATATATACAAAAATATGTAAACAAATATGTATATCCTATATATACACACAATCAAGGAGAACCGTCAACAGTTCAAACGCTCAGACACACTGATGCTGACACACTGATGCTGACACACTGATGCTGACTCCTCCCCTCCTCAGTACCTGGCTGCTGTGAGAACGCCTGCTGCTGATGGCTGTAGATCTTGTGGTACTCCTGCAGCTGGACATCTCCTCTTTCTGAGGAGGGGCTCACCGGGCTGACGTCAGCCGACATGAACAGTGACGCCGGTCTGTTCCTGTTGGAAACACAACAACGGGTAACTATTATACTCAGTTCTTTCATATCGACATTTATGTGAGGGCAGGGACTTGCAAACACATTTCGAGGGATGGTTGCACATGTGGCGATAATCATTCACAGTGCATTTGTTTCAGCATTTGCCTTAAATCATTTCTACATCTTAAGAAAACTCATAAACAGCTTATGTCACATGACGGGGCAGAGGGCTTTACTTCAGTCACTTTTTTTTATGGTTAACGGATCTTAATCTAGAAATACACGTTGGGATGACAGTGATTTCGATTGGTCTTAAACCACTAATTATGAGCTATTTGCTTTTATGCAATCACCCAAAAAATAATCCTCCAGAGGCCTTGTGCACATCCTGGAAATATTAAGCCATTTAAACTCAAATACTGTATTTCTTTATCCATAAATGTGGTTTCTTAATAAAAAAAACCCTCAAATTTATTTTTATTTTTCAACTTCATTTTCAATTTTTCTTTGAATGTTGGTACCATTCATTTAAAGTAATGGTAAATCATTTATCTTAGAAAAAGGCTAATTTGAAGCTATGCAACAGGTTTGACTTCATTTCAATCTATGTATAGTTTTTTAAAAGTAGGTTTTGATCAAGTTGAATTCTCTGTAGTGTTCTGCAGTCTTTGATGCTGATAACCGTTATCCAGCAGTGTGGCAGCAGCTGTGTAATCAAACACAAACGTGTAAATACTTAAAACTGAACAAACAGTGCAGTTTATACAGGAAAGCGTTTCCAGGGGGGGTAAAGTGGGCGGGCTCTGTATCCATCGTTACGCTGCAGGAATGTGCTGACTGTGCACAAACACTGACTCAACATGGAAACCAATGAGTCAGTGGAGCCAAGTGGACCAGAAGAAAGGAAAGACGAATATCTCTCCGAGGAGATATGGAGCTGAAAACCCCCAAAATGGTATTCAACCCCCCCCCTCCTGCTTCTTCAAAGTCTCAGCAGTTCATGCGGCCTGAGAACTCTCCTGGATGATGGGCTGCAGTATATTCGTCCCTGGAGAGATAAATGGCCTTGGATTCTGCTTGAGGATTTTTAGTGGTCTTCATAAACAAGCCAGACCTCGTCAGAGAGACTAATGGCTGCCGGCCGAAGCGACTTCTATTTACGCATCTGACCAGTTTCTTTAAAAAAGAAATGTTTGGAGATTTCTTTACATATCTTTCATTTATCACCCCCAGGTCCCTTTATTACCCATTTCCCATGTCAAATGCCATTACGTTTAATTTAACAGTCCCCGGGGAGAATGACTATAAAAGCCAAGATTAATCAGGAGGACTTTTTGAAACCCAAACTGATATAACTTACAGATGGCTGCTCGGCTTCCTGAGGTAATAAAGAGCAGGCTTTGTGTAGGATTATGTAAACAAAGTGGGCTTTGATATAGTGCGACTGTTGAAATGAATGTGCCGCGATGACTGCGAGCCCCAAGAATCCAACACGTCTCTGGATTCCCCCTCGCGGCCCCGCACCATCAGAGCTGACCTTAACTATAAACAACCGCGGCTGTTCTGCGGCTCACATTCTTGCGAAGTTGCAACAACATAGCTGGGATTTCTGATCCGTGCTGCGTGGATCTGTCGTTTTGTGGCCGCTGTACCCGAAACCTTCTGATGCACGAGCTTAAAAGAGCCGGAGGGAGAGTCTGTCAGCACAAAAAAGTTTCTCTGATCATATTTTACCGGCGAAAAACCCCTTCATCATTTTCTTTTCTCTCTATCTAACTAAAGCCAGCAGCTCTCGGAAATCTGGAATGAGAAGAATCCTGCTTGTAGAATTTAAGCTCTTGTGTTTATTTGCTTTTTTTAATAGCAGCAAACTTGGACTATATCAGAGACGGGGATGAGTGGTTTTACTAGAGAAGGTGCCAGCTTGGTTTTCAGTTCTGGCAGAGGAGAGCTGCTGTGACATAGATTGACTGGATAACAGAAGATCATATTGAAAGTATGTAACTCAGATGGATGTTTAATGTGATCGAAGGGCTACCAATCAAGTACTTAGAGGCATTTATTGCATGTTAAAGACGGGGAAAATACAAAAATGTGCGGGCATGTCAAAACATTTCAGCTAAACAAGCTCTTCGGATCCGATGTCAGTCGGAGCTTCTGCAAAATAAACTTCATTACGTCTCTTTCCCTCAAATTGTATAATAGTGTTTCTGTGTGAGAGCCATCCCAGTGAGTATTTGATGGAAACGCTGCTCCAAAAAAGCCAATCCTGCTCTCCCCCGACCGCAAAACACACAAACACTGAACATCACAAACACTCGCTGATGGACAAGCCTTAGCGCGGGCCTCTGAATCCCTCCAGTATAAAATAATTAAAAGAAGTCGAAATGGCTCGTCTCTGCCAGAGTAAACACGCGCCTGGCTATGAGGTCAGAGGAGCACAGATAATTTACTTTCACGTGTTTAACGTCTCGCTAAGTCATTTGGGGGGAAAACAAGTGCTTGTCTGGTATTGGCTTTGGCAGGCCGTGCACTGCGGGCAGCGAGGGACTCCATGACATCCTCAGTGTCTATAAAGAGACTCAATGGACAGACTGTGAAGCTCCCGCTGTAAACTGTGAGCAGATGGAGGCTGAGGGATGCTGCTTTAATGCGAGTACATTACTGTAGACGTCCTAAAACACATACAAACAGACACTAAACTCTCACCTGAACATCAAATGGACAGGACTCAAATGTTTATTCAAACTTAGCTTGGTTTGTTGAACTCCAAGAGCTTTAAATGGGTTGGTTTGACACCTAAACATCTCTTCATGTCAAGAAATCCAGGTGACAGATTTATTAAGTACTTCCAACATCATTTTTGAAAAAAGTAGGATGTGCAAGGCTTATTCGAGGTTGGCAGACATACTTTAAACTAAACTACAATAAATCCACTTTTTATTTCTTACACTACGACAACTTGTTTGGGTTGTTTTTGTTCGGAAAGGATAAAAACTGATCTGCACCTGTGCTATATGGAAAGCACATTTTAACTCACACATGGAAACACTAGACATATATATAAAATGTGGGATATGGTAACCCTTGTTTTTCTATTGACTTACAGGAAATAAAAATGATTTGACCCGATGAAAAATTTAAGTGGAAATCCTGATTTTACCTTTTACTTTTGTGTGACGATTATCGTCTAAGACTCAGTTTTCCTCGATCATCGTGATGCATTTTAGATTAAATTTAAAAAATCACAGCGTTTGCAAAAACATCACAAACCAAACAAAAGTGAATCGATGATTACTCCACCACTTGCAAACGTTCAAGGCTTTTTAAGGCACTGCACACATTCAACACATTTCAGTACCAACATCCTTTTTCAATTAAACTGAAATGTTCAGCACAAGTTCCACAGATTGTGACTCAAAGATTAAGATATCAAGCTATAAAACTTTTTCAAACTGTTTTTCCCAAGGTCCATAATAAACCTTGAGCCCGGGAATATTTATAGGTTTTAATTTGTGTTCAGAGAGAACAACACATCAACACAATTGCTCTGCCATGACCCAAAGCCTATTTCAAAACAAGGTTTCGCAGAAATACGAGAGCATGTGAAACTATGTGGATTATATTTAAAGATTTTATATCAGTTATAAAACCACGAAAAAATGTTATTCTGACCCTTATCAAATCTCTTTTATTAGATAGACTTCCTTTGTTGTTGCTGTTGTGCCAATAAAAGTCAGGTTACGGGCGACTCTTCAATGAACAATAATTTGAGGCCATATTGACCAGAACCGGCTGCCTGAGGCCTCCAGCTGCAGATCTTTGGTCTCACTTCTACTTTTATACTGGACAAAATGTGTCTCAGTTTACAGTACACATAAGTTCTGTGGCCTCCAAATACCCAATCAGGGAGACCACGAAGCCATAACTCCATCTCTGGTGATAATGTCTTGGGTTTATTCAAGAATGCAGGAGCTGTTTCTGAGCCTGAGCTCTAAGACGAGGGAAAGTCACATCGGGGATTTGATGGCGTCCGTATACTTGAGGTTTGACACTTGGAAGAGTTGAGCAGTTTTAAAATTGCTTGAGTAGAGGAATCGTCAACTGAATAAAGAGTTTAACGGCGAACATCCAAAAACGCAGAGGCGCAGAACACTGTGGTCAGTTTTTTTTGCTATTTTTATCTGTCCTAGAAAATAGCTCCGGATGAAAACTGCCAAACTCAAACACAATCCCGCTCAGCTGCATTGTATCGGGTTGGCAGCAGAAGCCTCTGCAGCAGATAGATCAAACCGTTGCCAGACAGCAGGGGGGGGGGATTTGGATGAACTGACCATTTAAGTTTGCCTCTGGGTACATCATTAGCCCAGTAGCAGTAAAATACCCATGTTTCAAGGAAATAAAGGCAATAGATTAAAAAATGCACGACAGTGAGAACATAAAAATGTACTTTTGACCTTTAACAGCTGCATCTCCTGATATGACAGGTCATTTCTCTTAATGACTTCACTCACTGGAGCAATAAAACAGAAATTCAAAACAGGGAAAATAAACACAATCTTTCTCCTGTTAAAAACCGCTGAGCTGCCCATGAGTAAGGCCCTTAACATCTAATAGCCACTATTTAAATGTTTATAACCGCAGCTGAAGTAGCCCATGTGTTTACTGTTTATTACCTCGGCATATGAGGTTATGTTTTTGGTTTGTTTGTTTGTCAGCATGATTACAGACAACTGGCCCGATTTTCTTGACATTTCGTGGAAAGGTGTACCGGGGGCCAAGGAAGAACCCATAACAGGTTGGAGCTGATTGGTTTTGGCAGGTCTTTGCTTTCCAAAGTGCCCGTGTAGTATTTTTGACTATCGAGTTGCAACACATTTAGCTTCGTTGATCTCCTGGGCCCAGGAGTTCAACACTTTTAATCTCAATCAGATCCGATCAGATTTTGAAATCCCATTTTTTGTGATCCAGGTTCAGACAAGTCGGCCAGATTCTGTCCCTGGACTTCAAAGCAATTCAGGATAGGATCACCCTGATCCAGATTACGACTTTTCAAGATGACTAGATCCTGAATATCAGTGCTTTAATCCTACCGATCGCCATCTAGTGGACATGAAAAATAATACAAGGAGACAAGAGACCACATTGCAGAGACATCTATAATGTCTAATTATATTTTTTTATTTGAAAGGTGATGACAGATTATGGACTTTTTTTTTGTTGAAGATATTTTGACTTTAATCTAAATTACATTTGTGATTGACAATCTTTGCCGTGATACTTTTATGAGCATAAACATTTATGTCATCAAAATTTGGTTGAAAACAAAATAGGCCACCACAAACGTGAGCAAAAATGGAAAAAATTAAATGTATTTCCCATGAAGGCTAAAAAGTGTGTATTATTTCAGTTAACAAACTTTGCCATCTTATTTAAATTGAAACATATTTTAAAATAAATTGTACAGTACATTTTGCTCTGGAAATCCACCCCTCTGGTGGGATCAGGATAATCCAGTTTTTTGGGATCAAACTGATCCCAATCCTGTGTGGTCGGTTTGAACTACCCATTTTGAAGATTTGATCCAGATTAAAGCTTGGATTGGATTTCCTGATCTGATCGGATATGAAAGTGATCCTAATCCTGTTTTTTGGTTTTGAACTACCCAAAATCCAAATCTGATTTGATCAGATAGGGATTCAAAGTTTTGAACTCCTGGGCCCTGGGTCTTACACTCACCCTTCTCTCACGCTCGTCAGTGAAGATATCGGGCTGTTGGCATCAAAGTTTCCCTCCACGCCTCGATACCTGGAGCAGGTGTCCGCGGACGGAGGGAGGAACTCTGCCCTGTTGTGGACGGAGCTGCTGTTGGAGTACACACCTAAAAGAGAGACATGGATAAATGGATTAACTTCACTGAAAATCAGTTTTCTGAGTATTAATAAAAGCCATGAAAGGTAGCTGCTCAGTGGTGAAGGTATTTTTCACATAAAAGTGAGTTAGATAAACAAGTTACAATAAAAAAGTAGGAGAACATGATATGAAATATGGGTTAATAAATAGCTACAGTCTGTGGCTGTTTGCTTTGATGAGCTGGGGCGACAGTAATGATCACTCTAATTCTCTGTTTTATTATTTTTAACTAATTGAAATGTGTCAGCTAATCCATAAAATAGTAGTAAGATAGATATGTACATGTCCTAAATGCATAGGTTAATTTCTTGTTTGTCTGACCAACTGTCCAAAAAATACTAAGAAAATAGAAAATACCTGACAAGACATGGAAAGCAACAACTTCTTAAATCTAAAAAGCTGTTGTTTGTTATTAAAAAAACAATTTAAATCATTTAGCAACAAAGCAAACAAATACACTTTTCACAAAACAGACTTTTATATTCTCTTCACACTAAAAGTATTTTGTTAAAGTTCAAATGAAACCTGACAACAGCGGCTGCTCCCTGCAAAGAATAAAGATTTTCAGAGTCACGTTTCAAAACTACAGGAGGTGTTTGATATTGAAAACATTAGTTTTTGGTCGCATACATTTAAAACTGTAACACAAAAAAACCGTCAAGCCTTTCAACACTTGGGTTTGATTTTAACAGCGGCGGATGATTGTTATCGTATGTCGCCATAAATCCTGCACACATAAAGTAAAGTACAGACACTGGTTTATACAAAACATTCAGAAAGTAACATTCGGGTATTTCTGATAAGCAAAAAGTCCTCTTGGGAAAATTTCAAAATGAAACACTGACAAGCTTGTTTCGCCATGAATAAAAATAACGGATAGTGTGCCGTTTGAGGCTTTCCCCTCAAAGTCTTCTGGGTAAAGCTGCAAGTAGTCTGAAGTAATAGACATGGACAGCTCTCCTGGACACTCTGCTCTCTCTTCTGCCAGCTGAGCCTCAGCGTACCTGACAGCTTCTTGATCCCTGTTCAGCCATTGAAAGGGGAAAGAAACAGAGCTTGGCTGGAAAAGGTTTTTTAGCTGAGGGACGGGCGGGGAGGAGGCCAACTCGCCCGCAGTCAGTGCCCGGTAATTGGACAAGGTAAACACGGGGCATGATGAGCTATCATCGCAGGAATGGTGGAGAGGAGGGAGAGGAAAAGGAGTGAATGAGGCCATGGGAGAAAATGAAAGAGACACAGCTTAACGGCCCAGGTGTTTGGGCAATTACTCTTTTCTTTGTTGTCTCATTTCCAGAGAGACTAAACACTGATTTGTACATTTGCTCTTGCTACCGTTTCACCCGTGCGTACCTGTGAAGTCATCGACGCCGGGTAAAGGCGAGTTGTTTCCCTGGTGGAGATGCTGCCTCGCCAGACAATCGCTCAAAATGTCCGACTCCAGCGGCGTGTGCACCTGAACCTGTCAGACAGAACACAGGTCATGTTCAAGGAGATGTGAAAAGTGGTAGAGATGGAGATTCTTTACTTAAAAGTGCGGCATTGTTAAAATATTTAAATATACACTCGCTGCTATATATAACTATGTCCAATATTATATTATTAGTATTATTAATAATGCTATGATAACGTGCAATTACGTAACTGCCACTACGTTTTATTTTTTGCACTACTAACTACTGCTATTAGTTGCATTGATTGTGTGACCATCTATGTTTCTATGTTTCATGTTGTCTGTAGATATTTAATTGCTCTTTTTGCTGCACTTTTAGTGTACAGTTTTGCTGCTGTGTTTATTGTATTTTGTTACTCAGGCACAACAATTTCCTTCGGGATAAGTAAAGTCTTATCTTATCTTATTTAAATATTAAAAGTACATGATGCAGAAGGATTTCTCATGTGACTTTCATTCTATTATTATTATTATTATGATTATATCATTGCATTATTGTTATTCACGCATCAATATAAATTAGGATTTAACTGTTGTATTTGTTGAAGTGGAGCTAATTTTGAACTATTTTTTATCACACTGCAACTAATTAGTAATTTCGAGATTTATCGATTGATTCTTTAGGTTTAAAAAATTCAGAAAAGAGTGAGAAATGCCTTGGAATCAAATGGATTGATAAGACTTTTTTTTTTTTAATCCAATACAAGTACTTCAGTTAGTTCTCAAGTACATGGACTTTTGGTGGTTGGAGTTCCATTAAACCACTGAGAAGTAAATGGTGGAACATGTCATGTCTTCATGTTGGGGAACATGTGCCTGCATGTACGGATGAGAGTAATTACATTTAAGCTGCAGCTTTCTTCCAATTGTGTTTTGCTGTTGGGCAACACGGCTCCCATGAAGCCAAACATTGAAATGATTAATTTTGATTACAAACAGTAGATCAATTGAAAACCACGTTGTCCACGGGCCCTTTTTTACTGTTCATTTTTCAAAGAAATGTCACTTGGAGCAGATGCCTGGTTCTCGTTTGGCCTTTCAATCCGACTTCTCCAGAAATATCGTTATGCAACTTATTCCAAGATGTTCTAACAAAGTTAAGACAAGACAATTTACTTTATTATCCCGCGTTAACAGAGGATCCCCCCAGGACTTTCCAAAACAGTTTATGGTCAGCTCCAGGACTAGAAGAGAAGCTTGTGAAGGACACCAAGGAACCACAAAAGAGTTATGAATAATCAGTGAAAAATGCACACCCAAAACCACTGTTTATGAAGATACAAACTTCATAAGCTGTGACGCATCCGCCTGAAGAAATGTATAACCGTGAGGAGTTTCTGAAGTACATGTTTAATATTTCAAAGTTCTCTGTAGCCCCGCAGCGCACATTTACTTCAGCGCAGGGCGTGTAGGCCATGTCACAACTTACAAGCACACGTGTTTCTGTTTAACACAAACAAGGCATGGGAATACACACAAAGCCCTGTGTCACTCACGGGCCATAGAAAACAAACAAGGCCCAGATAAGGGTGAACAATAGGCTCCCTATGCTGACTTCCAGCGAAGTGTGTGTAATACTTTGTTTTGTTGCGTTTCATCCGACTGAATCATAAACATGCTTGCTCTCTCCTCCTGTGGCTCTATATCTCTTTCTCACAGAAACTAGAGTTATTAAGAGCAGAGCCAGGCTGCTTCACTAACGCCACTAAGATGCTTTCGGAGAACCCGCTGTTAAAGAAGTCCTTATTAATACACTTTATTCTAAAAGAACTGCATTTTTATATCATTTTGTTGCTGCTATTTTCTTTCTGAAAGCACGAGACGATGTGAACGTTTCATGACACAATGATCCTATCATTGGGATTTTACAATATCTAATATCTTGATTATCATCAAAATATGCTTAAAATGGCCCTTAAATAAACTGGAATAGCGTTGCCTTAGTTTTGTTAAAAGGGAACATTGTTAACTGCATGCCAGAAAGGAAACATGTTCTTTGTGATCATAGTTTTTAGTGAAATACAAATGTTTTGTATTTATATAACATAGTTAAATATACTGTATATATGGTGGCTGTGGCTCAGTGGGTAGTGTGCTGGACTTCGAATCAGGGGATAGCAAGTTCGAGCCCCACTGCAGTCAGCATGTCGTTGTGTCCCTGAGACACTTCACCCCAAAGTGCTCCTGTGGGGATTGTCCACAGTACTGAATGTATGTTAGTCGCTTTGGATACAAGCGTCTAACAAATGACATGAAATAATTAATATAATATAGTTATACATACACACAGTATATATCTTTGAATTCTACAATTTTCATGAAAAGTCATGAAGTGTGTTTTTGATGTTGAATGTTATCCCTGATACGACAGAGGAGCTTCTCAAACAGTATTTGCACGATCGTAAAACTGCCCAGAAACCAAGATGAATAAAGATTAGGGTTAACCGCTGTATTGAAATGGACCTTATTTTCCTAGAAAATGCAATTTCAAAGAAACTTTACTGAATCTCTGTTCACCAGAGGTCAAGCATCAGGATTTTATGACCGTTGAGTAATAAATAAATGATTTATGAGGGCTTTGTGGTGGCCTAGCGGTTTAAAACCCCGACCATTAATCCGCCATGCCACTGGTCCGAGTCCAGGGGTGTCATTTTTACTGCCACTAAAAGTAATCATTTTTACTTTTGAACAAAGAAAACTGTTTATATTGACCTCTTTTACTTGATTTGTATTTATAGCCTTGCCTTTCCTCCACTTCTAATCTCACATATCTTTATTAAAGATGTTGGTGATAAGAGAAGTAATCAGTGTTTCCCTTAATGTGCAACATGCAAGGATAGAACTGCTGTTGTTACCTTGACCTCTCTCTCCTGAAGGCCTTTGGCGGAATGAGCTTTGACGTGTTTCCGTAGCGAGCTGGGGTCGGTGTAGCGCTTGGTGCATCCTGGGAGCTGACAGGCGTACGGCTTCTGTGAATGAACCACAACGAGAAGGGGGTGAGGAACGGAAAGAAGAAGATAAACAAAGCTGTGAGGGAGAAGAAAGTGCTTTAGTATTGAGTCATTTTAAGTGTGTTTTCATGTTACACAAATGTTATTGTACCAAGTAACTATAGTAGCATACAATTGTAAGTAAAGTACAAATACACTTAAGTTCTTTCTTAGGCTTTTTTCTGCTGTAACAATGTAAATTCTCTGTGGGACTAATTGTAATTTAGTACAATACTTGAATAAAAGTACTTAGTTACTCCACCAATTAACCTTATTGAACCCTTTACAGAATATTAGACGATACTTTTAGTTTCATGACTTACACAAACTCAGAACTTTGTAAATCAGGTCATAACATTCACCACATCTGGTTTATGGATATGATGATAAACACAGAAAATAAAATTGTGTTTAGAAACAACAGTACAAGTTTAGCTGAGTCATAGTGCAGATTGTTTACAGGTGTGAGGCTGTGTACAGTAGTACTGTGTATTACACGCAAACATTTAGGATACATGTGCTCACTCAGCGTGACATGTGTACTAACAGGAAGGAAAGAAGTGAAGATGAAGTCAATATTTTATAGGAAAGACTCAAAATGCAGTATATTTACCTTTAGTCTGCAGGCTTAAGGAGAGGAAGAGAGAGAAGAGTTCAGAGGAACAGATCGTAAACACATCATCCTGTTCACTCATCAATGGATGTGTTCATAATGTCAACTTTAGATAGTGATCTTCCTACAATCAGTGGCCGGAGAGGAGTTTTTCCAGATGGTTATTTCTAGATGTAGTAAACCTTTCAAAGCAAAGGATCTATATATAATATAGTAACCATAAATTAACACGTCTTTATATGGAAAATATAAACATTTGTAGGGTTCATATCGCTTTCTTACAGTAACAATTAAAAGGTTTTTAAGGTATCCTCATCAAAATGTTTTGTTCGTTTTTTCAGACTTAATCATCACTTTTATATTGTTACTAAAAATGCAATTGCAAACAATATAGTTTACAGAATTCCTTCATACCCAAAGCAATCAATGTATATCGACACAGGGTATGTTTTGAAGACTTTCTTGGTTTATTTGAGTGATTGAGTCGATGTAAACCAGATTATGTTGAAAGCAATGTATTTTTCAAGGAGTATTTTTGAACTGAAGCATATTTTTTAACCTTGAAATAACAACAGTTAAAACCGAGTGATTTCTAAACTTTCAATCGCTGTTTTTTTATAGCATTTAGCTCAGTGTTTCTCAAAGTGTTTCCCTGGGGCATAACAGGGGGGGGGCGCGAGAGACCAGGAGGAAAATAAAAACAACTGAAATCTGAAATGTTATTATTGAAAAAGTATTATAATAATATGATACAGTAGAATACAAGTACGTCTGGGTCTCTGTGTTTGATTCAAGCTCGGCTCTGTGTGTGTGTGGAACGAGCCATTTTGTGTGCGCGCGCGCGAGCGAGAGAAAGAGAGAGAGAGAGAGAGCGCACCGGTACCGGAGATCGTTGTTGTTAGCTTCTGGTGCTAGCGAGCTAGTGGCCGGCTCTCAAACGGTTTGGTCACCATTAATGTAAACAATTATTTCCGAGGCACACGTTTATATGATCATTACAGTTATACAAAAATAAGAGTATAAATGAAAAACAGGTATGAAATACTATATGACATTAAAAAAAGAATACAGTTTAAAAAGGGGAGTGATTTGTAAAATATCCATAAAGAAAAAGAACATCTGCTTACAGTTGTGTTTCATCTGGGTGTTGAGAGAGGTATCCATAGATCTCTTCATGTTGCTCTCAAAGTGCACCAGATTGATAATTTTAACTTCAATATTTAAAAAAAAATCTTCCTGGAGGAGCATGCCCCCGGACCCCCCTATGTTAGGTCCACTCCCCACTTATAAAAATAGCACTTTACCCCTGCTTACACCTATATGCCGTGAGCTGATTATCGAGCCTTCATTGTAACTGTCACACTGTGTATATGCGTGGGGATTGTTGCAGTTCCACTGAAGCGCCCGGGCAATTAATGGGAAACCCTAAATGTTTGAGCACCCTCTATGAAACGTCAAGCTGCCCCACAGCACCCCCAAAATAAATCTCTGGTGTCGCCACTGAGCCTGCAACCCCGTTTTGAAGAAATGTGCCGTGCAACACAGGCTCATTGCAGCCACTAATAAGACACACTTTTTTGCCAAATATCCGCATTTTCTTTGTAAAGTGGCAAAGTATTATAACTTATTGTTCTAGCAAAGGGATTGCTAAATTGTATTTATTTTTTTGAGCACACAGACTTATTGAGCATTGTTTTATTATCACTGTTTTATCAAAATCATTTTTTTTTTTTTTTAAAGGAATGCTCACTTTCATATTGGTGTATTTTAATAAATGTTAACTTGGCCCATTACGTGACTATTTGTGTTGGGGGGGCCCGACTTTGTTTTTTTTCTCCAAAGGGGGGGCCTGACAGAAAAAGCTTGAGAACCACTGATTTAGCTAGAGAGAGAAGCACATTTCTGCTGTTTGATTTTGTGTTGTGTTTTTCCCAATCTCGTGAAAATTGATAGTTTGGTTAGGTAAATGAGCTCATTTCCATGAATCTAATTCCTCACAGGTTTTCTTCTCCACTTTGGATTACTGAGTGTTTCACCAGGTGGACTGAATTAAGTTTCCATGAAAACACATGTGAATTATTTCGATGAATCTTGTTGGTTTATGTAGTAGGATCTGAACATAACAAGTCAAAAATAATGACCTAAGTGGTGGTAACAAAGAGAACAAACTAAGCCACTGTTTATCAAATAAAGGGTGGAGGGGTTTTTAAAACAGCACAATGTACAACGTCAAAAACACTTGAAGTATTTAAAAGTTATAAGTAGGAAAAAGTCAGTTTGATTACGTCAGGGAAACAACGGTAAGGACTTAAATATACTAATATATTTCTGTTATTTTTGTAGAGAGCAAGTGAACATATTTAGCTCACCTAAAGTTTGAACATTTGGATGTATTTGGATGTTATTGAAGTGAAGTAGTGACAGTGCACACTTCTTAGTTTAAAAAAAATAATTGTTATTGTATTTAGTTGTATTATCCTCCTCTACAGTATGTACAATATGTCTTTAAACGATATTTAATGCGAGGCAAAACGGATAATGAAGCGTTAAACTTTACTGTGTATCCTTGGTGTTTGCATGTCAGCATAAATTGATGAATTTACATGTCAGAATGCAACTGTGTGTGTCAAAGTTATACAAATATGGAAAACATAAATCAACAGCAGAGCTTAAACAAAGCTTTTCTGTGTAATGTTGAAATTCAAGATGTTAGGACTAAAATGCTTTAGTTTACGAAGCATGTGAATTCAAACAGGAAACAACAACATTCAGAGTTTCGTGGTTTTGATTGGTCTTATTGAGTTCAACATGTGCTAATACATGCACTTGATGGATCAATAAAGACTTGAATAAGCACTAGGTAACTGTGTGATATCGGTTTGAACTGATTGAAAAACCCCAAAACAAGCAACATGTGAGCTGCAAATCTTAGTTGAGACACATCTGCGTGACACTGGCCACATCTTGGAAACAAATCTTTCATAACACACTATTATTTATAACATTAGTAACACAATACAAGATATTAAATCAAACATAAATAACTTGTATTGACACCAGTCTTTTCTTGGCTGCTTGTAATACTATTTTCACCAATTATTTACATCTAGGCACATCTGGCGCCATCTCGGAGCCCCAGATGTGTCTGATTCTGGATTTGTGACGCAACTGCGAAGCCGCCATTAGCCAGCGTGAAACCACAAAAAGGAGAAAATAACTCTCTCCTCTTGTTGTAATAACACTGAGTGCATCGTATGGCTCCATCTCACCCGTGTAATAAGAGATATGATTTGCTGGATTACTGCTAAATCCTCATCGCTTGTCAGCAGGAGTAAAAATAACTGTGGTTTACAGAATAAATCCACAGCAGGTATGTAGTTACACGATCCTAAAGAATGTTCTGTTCTGTACCCAGAAATAGGATGGAGTAGGGGGAGCTGTGGCACTTCCAATTAAACATAACCCTTTATTACCAACACATATCGTTTCATAAAGAAGACGTATATTGAGAGCCGACAGGAGATTGAGGATTTATGCCTACAAATGCTTAAGTTATATATTAAAGTGACGCCTTTTTGTTCTTCAGACAGGGAAGGCTTTAAAGTAAATGTTCCTAATACATGGAAGGTGCAAACTACTTTATTTGAAGGGGCCGTTTTATGCTTTTTGGGGTTTTCCCTTTCCTGTAGTGTGTTTTATAGGTTTAAGGGTTAGGGCTACTCACTAGCGCTCCAACCAAGCCCCCAGGAAGTACGCTGGACTGAGGAAAATATTTGTTGTGGCCAAACGGCGGTACTACACTTTCGTATCAGTCGCTGGGCCCGGAAAGACTTTTTCCCATTGACTTACATTGGGAAAGAGACGTCTGTAAAATCGTTCTATAATTTTTTTTAAAACTAAATAAACACATTCGGTCCTCAAGTTGTAAAATGTGATAATAACGTTATTCTGAGAGTTATTTTCCTCTGCATTTTGAATGCGGATCTAACCCACGGGACCGCGTTGCCCGGCACGTTCATGTTACGTGTTCAGTACTACATTACATTACATTACATTGCATTTAGCTGACGCTTTTATCCAAAGCGACTTACAATAAGTGCATTCGACCAGGAAGATACAACCTTTAAGCGTGACGTTTCGCTCTCTCAAAAGTTGGGCCATTTTGTCTTCATGCGCCAATGAGCAGCTCTCATAGGAATGAACGAGGCCCCGCCTCCCACGCTGTATCCAGTTCTTATTATACATCCATGGCTCCAACACATTGTACGTGATAGGCTAAGGGGCGGGACATCTCTAAGCGGCTGACCAATCACAACAGAGCTGGCCAGCTGACCAATCAGAGCAGACTGGGCTCTGGTTTTCATGTACATGTCACAGTGGAAGTGAGAATAAGTGTAGACATTTTTGCCTGTAGTGAATGTAGTATTTTTGAGTAACATAAAATGTAAAATGCATGTACTGTACCTACAAATAGTACTTGAATAACTCTTAGAGTCTTGATAGGAACTTAACGGAGAGAGCCAGATTGTTAGGGCGATCTTTTGGCAGCGAAAGGGAGCAGTGGCGAGTTATGAAGATGTGATTTCAAGGAGCAAGAGTTTCAAGGAACAAGAGCTTCTTTCTGTATCCTCTCAGGTGTCATCAGTAGTGGATTTCATAACTTCTTTTGTAACAGAAGCTTTCATTTATGATCCTGATCCCCTGAAACATCCCCCAGTCAGTTTAAGCGTTTAGAGTTATTAGATGATGATTTCTTCAGCGTGTTTTTATAAAGTGTGATAGTGGAGAACAAGATTTTAGTTTAATATTCTATCGTCTACGCAGTTCGTATAAATCATAGCTGCAAAGTTGTCAGTGAAAGAGATGGATTTGAATGATAAAAAAACACTTGCGATTTGTGTGCATTTCCCAAGATTTTTTTTTATTTCAAGTTCTGCAAGAACGCAGCTCAACCTCATGTTTTCTATTAAACTGTTTTTGGTTTTTGACATTTTTCCTGTTTAACTAAGCTGTTGAAACCATTTCCTCCCCACAACACAAAGGGCCAAACATACAAAGATTGGCTCATCAAGAGTTTTTCACGGTTTAATGGATTTCCTTTCTTTCTTAAAGTTGTTAATTAGCTGATACATTTATTAAAAGGAAGTTGCTGCATAAGGCCCATTGTTTGTCCTCATCATTTTTCCTCATAAAAAGAAAAACTCATAAAAGTTGTTTTTAAAAGAGAGTATTTCTTCAATACCATAACAGACAGAACATTCTGGTTACTGGTTTCATTTAATTAGACTTGTGTGCTGGTTATTTTTTGATAATGTAAAGTGTGGTCTTTAAGGCACGTGCAGTGTGGCTGTGTGTTACTGACCGTGTCCAGATGTGTGCGCTGGTGTTTGGCGCGGTCGCTGGAGTTGCTGAAGGCCTTGAGGCAGCCGGGGTGCTGGCAGATGTACGGTTTCTCTCCCGTGTGGCTCCTTAGGTGGATCTTCAGGTTCTCCAGACGGGAAAACGCCTTGAGGCAGCCCTCAAACTGACAAGGAACATATGAACAAAGAGGCTTACTGAAACCTGACACATCAAACATTTGAGGAGAGTCAAAGTGAATAGTTAAAAGAGTCAGAGCTAATAGCAGCTTAGAGTTACATTAGGGTCAGGGCTAAAGAGAGATTTCATCCAACAGGGCGTAGTAATAAATCAAAACATAATTGAAAACAAATACTGGGCTTATATAAGAATGCTTACCCAATATCTGGGACATTTTACAGTATATCGGTAAATGTTTTTGTTTGAATTGAGTAAATTATGATAAATTGTGAAAAACAACAACCATGGACTCCTATTGGACCTTTTAAGTATTTCATATTCATTTAGTCATTGTCCCCTGACTACAATGACCTAAATGAAAGTGTAGTTATTGTCATCACCTCTTTTTATACGATTTGTTTGTTGAATATTGCCAGCCTTTAATAATTTAACTACACATTAATTCATTAAATGATTAAAATTGAAACTGTACAATTACCAGTACTGAGTAATAATCTACATATTGAAGGACACACTTTACTAAATGTCTGACAAAATAAAGTTTAACGCACTGTTTCCTCGAGTTTCTTAGTTGGATGTAATAATAAAGAAAACATTATTATTTTGGAGACACAGTATAATAAATATACATATACATGCTGTCATAACAAGCAAATAAAGTACATCAACTGTAACGGCCAACATAAAACTTGACTTCGTATTTCTACTGTAAAATACTTTAGAAATATGTTTCTTTTACTGTAAGTGGACATGTGTGTATTTTTTCGAGGGTGGGTTAACATTTTCTTAATGTTTTTTTAAACGATGTTATTACTACTTCATCCCTGAACTAGTGACGAGCAACACGTAAAGGGTAATGAGTGTTTCCTCCTTTCCAACAACTCATTGTTAAACTTTGACTGATCAGTCCACATAAAGCTGCATTTCCTCAGTTTCCCCTTCTCATAAAAACACATAATCTATAGTCGATGTGTGCTAATAAACTGCTAGATAAGTACTCATGAGCATTCGAGCGTTAACTTATTTCAGTCACGGATCTCTTTTTCTTTATGGGTTGCTTTTTTGTTTCTGTTTTTGTTATTTTGTTGTTTTTTAAGGAGAGTTCCAGCCTTGGATGAATTAATCTCCATGATGTAGTCTGTCTTAATGCACAGTTATTAAAATAAACGAGGTGAATGACATTTACTGACTCATTAGCGAGACCTAATAAAACCCCTGGAATGAATTTTGGGTAGAAAAACTGTTTCTATAATTTCCTCTGGACTAGTTTACAAAGGATGAAAACTCTTTATTTTTGTATTTTAATTATTTAAGAACCAAACCCGGATCCTGTTTGAAGTCTTGTTTACGGAGATATTAATCCTTTTCATAAACTAAACCTTGGAATTTTACCTTATTTAATGGCATGACATCATGTAACCAACTGTTATGTTACGTACTTTTGTAGATTGCACTTAGTTGAATCTAAATGATGGCTGAAAGCATTGAAAACACATTCCTAACGTTCAGAATGTGTTGCATGTACAACACAAGGTGATTTTAGACAGTTTTGAATGATGGAGAAATATTTAAAGTGCTCTCCTGTGATCATCTGTATGTTCTCCCACTTCCTTTAAGAGAGCCAGGATGTACAAATCAAACCTTGAGAAATATTTCCATGTAAACTTTAACTTGCATGACATAAATGAAAACATTTTTAGTGTGTGAGATTTGAGATTACATTTGACACGGTTTCTTTAAAGTAACAAAGCTTTAGTTTATGGCCTGCAGTTTGTAGCCTGCAGACTGATATTTGCTTCTTGTCAGTTCCGTGTGTGTGTGTGTGTGTGTGTGTGTGTGTGTGTGTGTGTGTGTGTGTGTGTGTGTGTGTGTGTGTGTGTGTGTGTGTGTGTGTGTGTGTTTTGTTCCATGCAATTTGGGGAAAGGCCATTACCTGAGGTTTATGATTCAATAACCTAAAACGTGTAAAATTAAACCGTGATTTATGACCTCCTTACTCGTTATTACTGTTGGACCAGACTTCAACTTCACTGATATGTAATGTGAAAATATGATTTTTATTATGTGTTACTTACAGGCCAACATAATATTTCTTTTTGGTTACCAGAAGTAAGATAAAAAAAGGATGTTAACATGTGAATATAAATACTTAAAAGGTCCAATAGGAGTCCATGGTGTTTTTTTTTCACAATTTATCATGATTTACTCAATTAAAATAAAAACATTTATCGATATACTGTAAAGTGTGCCAGATATTGGGTAAGCATTCTTATATAAGCACAGTATTCGCTTTTGATTATGTTTTGAATGGTGGACCAAAATAATCAATATGGTCTTTAGGTTGGAATAAATAAATAACACAGCAGTCTTTCATGTTAAAGGACAATACTTTGTTGAACTAATGAGACCTGGATTGCTTTGTAACTTCAACGTACGTGTATGTCGTTACCTGGAACTGAGTAATGATGCTGTCATTTTTCTTGAACGGAAAGTCTTGGCGATGTTTGTGTGATTGACGCAAAATGAACTACAGTGCCCTTGTTCATTTTAGTAAAGAAACGTGTCAGCCAGTGCAAACCTGTGCCATTGGTTCCACATGTTTTTTGTAACAATGGCACTTTGGCACAGAGAAATAAAATCAGGGTTGGCAACACAGATATTTTTGTATAGTTTTGGTCTTTCCTGGGGTGTGTTGACGGAAAGGAAAACATAAAGATGTCCTTTATATGCATCCGACCAGAATGTTAATGCAGGACCATAAGTTATGAATGATGAATCCATCATGGTGTATTTAGAAACGCCTCAGGAGCTTGTGTTCACAGCTTGAGTAGCACCTGTCTGATCTGAGACTTAACATAAAGAGCCGTCAAATTAGATTGAATTCCACACACACACACACACACACACACACACACACACACACACACACACACACACACACACACACACACACACACACACACACACACACACACACACACACACTTTCCATTACTGCACCAGGAATGACTTAATTTACATGTTTTGACCAGAGCAGTTAATGAAAAATAAAATGAAGTTATTCATATTGCTTCAAGCGTGACTGACTTTTCTTGTGAGTTGTTTTAAATGTATTAATCTGTTTGCAGGCGACTCGCCAAAGTCATATATTTACAAGCTTGCAGCAGGTTTAATCATTTGAATGAACTAATTAACTTAAGAAGGAAGCGTGTCCCTGAATGAAGATTTCTGAAGGAACTATTCATCGCAGCCTCAGTTTGACGACAGCAAAGAAATCGCTGGGGAATAACGGAGAGAGTTACTCACCCTCAGGGACGGGGATTTGGAGCCGAGCTGAAGGTCATCATGAGACAGATGTGTTCAGGCAGCAAAAGTCGTGTTTCAAAAAGTGATTCATGACAGATGTGAGGCTGTGCTGGGGCTCAAAGGCCACGGTTGTGATGGTCAATGCAGAAAGTGTCTCTTTTCGGACCTAATCTGGTCTCGTCTTTATCTGGGACGTGCCTCCTAACTTTTTCAAATGCATCCGATTCTTTTTTTTTTTTTTTTTCTAGTATGTGCCTTTTCAATGTTTCATTTTATGGGTTTATAGGCCATCAGCCTGTATGTTTCAAAAGTCAAGTAGCTCAGACACATTAAAGGCAGGAAATGGTCAAAGGGTTTTCTCTGTGGGAACATACAGTATAGTTTACAGGAAGTGCAATGTGATGTTAAAAATGTTATTTTGGGGGAGCTTTGTTCATCGGTTTTAGATTTTGCAGAAAGTAATGCAACAAAAAGAAGCAGTGATCGCTTGGATGAAGAGTTACAGCAAGGTAACAACCTCAAGCTTTTACAATATGTTTTCTACAAAGTAGCTGCTCAACAGGTGTTTGGATCCCCAAGAATTATGGGATTTGTAGTCTTTAATCTCACTTGCCGTCATCATGGTAACCAGGGGTTTAAACAAATCAACCCAGACATGAAAACCATTTTTTACATTTAAATAGGGACGTTTCAGATGACAGGGACATTTAGAAGGCAAGACAAAGTATCTTGTTGAAAGACTTTCTGTAAGAATGAATGATTTATCAGGTGATTGCATCGTTACCTAATAACGTTAAATTATTGGATTTCTCAGAATAACTTCAGGGCGATCAGCAGGTTTTTGGATACTGGCTCCTAAAGACAAATCCTCCATTCATACAACACCTTCATGTCTCGTCATCTGGCGAGCATGAGTAAGGGAAACCTGTCGCAAGGAGAGGAAACCATTGGATCATCTCTCTGTCTCACAGCCTCTCGATCAACGGCTGCACAGTGAAGTCGAGACGTACCGTAAGCTATGTCTTTCAAATCCCCTTTCAATAAAACAAAATGTTGGAAAGGGTGAGATTTGTTTTGACTGACTGAAAATGGTCGTATATGTTTTGGTGGAGCTGATTTGGAGAGGTTAGCATTGCTCTACAGCACCTCTAGTGGTCAGTTGTACAATTGCTAATTTCTGAACCTTTCATCTAGGAGTGAAGTTTATTTGCCTTGATTTATGTTCATTTATATTCTCTTCTGCTCCTATTAGTATTTATTCAACCTGTTTTATTAGGTAAGACCAGGAGCAAGTTTATTTTTGAATTCAAAATGCAATACCTGCACTACAACTTTATTAGCATGGAACAAGCCCAAATTGGTTTGTAGCAATAAAAATCATTAATTTCTGACATCGTGCTAACCACCAATGTTTAAAGTAGAAACTCTTTTATGACCGTGTTGTAAATATTTGAATGTTTCTTGTATCTTTATCTCGCCGCATGCTAAGCAGTGGAAAGCAGCCAAGTCTGATTTAGTGATAAACACTTTTATATATTTTTTTGTGTAGAAATCAAAGTTATTGTGATCCACCAAACAAAAGAAAAGCGACTCACCATGCATTTATTGGGCTTCTCTCCGGAGTGGACCCTCATGTGGATGAGCAGTTTGTAGCGAGCGTTGAAGGGTTTGTTGCGTCGCACGCAGCTGGCCCAGAAACAGGAAAACTCTTCTCCTTTGCGCTGGTCGATGTGAACCTTCTCGATGTGCCTCACCAGCTCCTCCTGGCTGCAGTAGGTGGCGCTGCAGTCGATCCAGTGGCACGTCAGTGGCTGGTCCTGATGGTCCACTGAAGGGTCCTGGCCTAAGGGTCCGTTAAGCCTCGGGATGTGAAGTTGGGGGCCTTCCTGACCTTTAAAGGTCTGGCCCACATGGAACGGCTCCCCCTGCTGGTTGTTGTTTTGAAACTGTTCCCTCTTACACGGTGAGAAATCATCTGCAGGCTCTTGTTTTATTGAGTGATACTCTTCCTGTATCTTTTGTTGTAGATGAGGAGTCTTGTTGCCACCAGGTGCATCAGAAAGAGGGGAGGAAAAAAACAAAGATGATGAGGAGAAGGAAGAGGAAAGAGAGGAGGGTGGAGAGCCAAAAGGAGGCGATGTGGTACAGCTAGAGAGCATGTAGGATAAAGGGAGGGAGGGCTGGGGGTAACAGCTGAACCTCTGGGTGTTGTGTTTAGGATCTGTGTGCCCCGGGGTGGCAAAGTCCTCCATTGTCTTTTCTATGTGGGAGGTGAGGTCGCGGCCCAGCGAGGACAGGGAAGTCCTTGGAAGACAGCACACACCGAGACCACCTGAATGCATGGAGGACTGACAGAAGCCACCAGAAGACAGCGGCGCCTGAGGGTCCTCGGCATCCTCAAACACACTGCCGAAGCCAGGAAGAGTCAGCTGGACGTCTGGAGGCCCGAGGTCAGGGGGCCACATCCTGGCCCCCCGCTGGCAGACTTCCACCAAGAGACCCTTTCAGTTCAAAAGCTGCTGCTGATTCTGCTGGAGAAACTTCAGGCATCCATTGGAGGTAAAACGGTCAACAGCATCTTCTTATTCCTAAATGTAATCAAATGACGTTCATTTTCTGCTGCTGGCATCTTCGCATTTCAAACCCAGCGTGTGTAAACTTCTGTCATTTGTTCCAAACGGCTGCGTGGTCAGTCATCTCTCGCGCTGCGCTGTAGGAGACAGAAACCAAACCCAAATGAGTCATCTCAAAAAAGTAATGCAATATGAAAACAAAACACTCTGAAACATATCACGTAAGAGATTTGAGTAACAGCGGGTGAAGAAGTAACGGGACCCTTTAATGCAGTAAATGAACCAATACAAAGATGAAAGTCCTGCAATCCATATCCGACATGAAGTGTTATTTTCCAAGTATTAAAAGCAAGTGTATAAAGAGTATCAAAAGTAGAAGTGAATAAGTTATACAGCTTAGTTGTGTGGTTCCCAACATAGGGATAAAGATACATTGAGTAATTGATGATTAAAAGACGAATAAACAAGAAGTTTTTTCACACTATTTCCCATATCCACCTGTACACTGTTCGATATGTAAAATGATAAAAGTATACAGTAAGTAAAAGCAGTAAATGTACAAAAATTGATGTTGCAAATCTATGATTAAGACGATGTGACTTCCAGCATAAAACCCCACATTTGTCACACTGCAAAGGTTTTCCAGCCATCAGCAACCCTGCTTTCAATGATTCACAACAAATGGACCAAGTCGCCTGGCAGAGACGCTCCCAGATGAAGTGAAACTAAAACAAACAGCGAGCCCGACCTTCTTGTCAGCAGGCTTCAATCACACGGCTCAGAGTGCGACGCTGCAGCGACTCGATGTATATTTGGTTTCCTTTGAGCCGCTGTTACGGTCGGGGCTGATTCATTACTGCATTAGGGCCACCCTTGCAGCAAACAGCCAGTCGTTGTGTGGCAGCAGATTGCCTGGAACCTGGTCCAGATGCTTCTCACAGAGGACGAGTAATGGACCACATCTCTGGTCCTGCAGGAGGCTGGGGCTGGAAAGTAGTGGGGCAAACAGAAGTTCCCCTGCTGCCTCGGTCACATGTACAGAAGCTCTACTGTGCAAAAGTCCAAGAGGGTTTATTAGAAAACGTTTTCCACTGCCAGATATTGATGATGTATTTTACAACAGGATCCCCGCAGTGTGTAATTAGTCATCGGAAGCATTCAGTTATTTTACGAGATTAAAACGGACACAGCGAGGATGATGAGTAACTTCACGTTTGTAGTTATATTAGCTGACACTTAGAGTCACTAAGTGTAGGTTCATGCCCGTAGTTTCCTGGTATAGTCTGGGTTACAGTTTTATGATTCTTCCCGTAAATCGCGGGAGTTCCCCCCCCCTCCCCACGAGAGTCATGTTGCAGAGCAGTCATGGGAACTGTGGTTGAGTCTTAATTAGAGAGGTTGCGATGTGTCTGTGTGTCAACAAGTTGAACTGGATTACTAATTCCTTTGAGCAGAAGATGTTTGAAATATCTTAATGCAACCTAGTACTTGTTAGCTTTGAGATCTAATACCATGTTAAGAGTTTTGAGGGTGAACTGAGGGATTAAGGATGTACAAAAATACATTAGATTCACAAAAATCAAACAATAAATCTGATAAAAAAATCGATTTACTTATATCTGTTGAATTATGGCAGATTTAATGTTAACATGAGGATGGTTTGATGCGAAAAAAGGACCAGAGTGAAGTCCTGCAGCAAATATAGCAACACGGGAATTTTATTTTAGCAGTGTCTGTTCTCAAACCACTTTGGTGTTCATCCAGAAAGACGAGTCAGACAGTAAAACTAAGAAAAGTGTCCCACAAAGCCTCAACCGAGCCAGCACACTTTATAAAATAGTAGGCTCATCTCATGCGGTGTCTTTTAAAGACTCACTTGCTGAGGTTAGCTAAACACAGCTGTGGCGTTTCAGGACAAGCAAATGTGTACTTGTCTCAACAATAAGCACTTTATGTTCTTGAATTACAAACCCTTTGTGTGCTTTTTGGTTCAAGTGAAACATGGGGGAAAAGATCCTTTTTGAAATGACTGACGTGAACTCACAGAGTAAACAACATCCAGCTTCCCTAAATAATCTGTGTGTTGTTACCGAGGTGTCGGTTTCAGACTGAGACCTGTTGCTGAACACGCTTTCAATATTGTCACATAGGTCTATGACTAATATTGATATCAACTTCATTTATACATTGGAATTTGATACTAGTTTTATAAAGACCAGAGTTCATCAGGTGCATGTGAACGCCGCCATCTGGGAAAATCTGACATTTCTATTTATACATTTTGTTTGTTTCCCTCTTTTAACCCTATGGTTACAACATTGAACAAATATTGTCAGTTGGACCAATACATTTAAAAAAAGACTATTTTCCAAATGTTTTAATTGAGAATTTTAAAGGGAGTTGAGAAAAATGTATTAAAAATCGAGGTAAAAGTCATTGCAATTATACAACCAATAAAACAGCATGCAATTCTTGCAAACATTTCATTATTTGTTTTTACTTTACGTACAATCAGATGTGTTTTTGATTATGCATGCACGAGTACATGTACATGTTGTTTGGTCATATCCTTCGAGCATGGACTAACTGTCATACATCACTACTAATAAACGGATCAGAGACATATGGAATTAGCATCATGTGTTTCCATGTACTGATTTGTAATCCTGTCATTGCTTTTTATGACATTCCTATATAAATCAAATAATATGTGATGCGTTTGAGAGGGAAAATAAGTGTAGTAAATCTTAGTTCTTGGATTTAAAGAAATACATAGGGACAGGTTTTGTGGTTAGACATGCCCACAGGTGCAGTATACTGTATTTCAGGTTATGATAATATGTTTGCAAGAGAACAAACTCTCATAAATGTGCCTGGTTGACCATTAAAGAAAACATGTGGATTACGTAACTGTCGCTCTTGTTTTTATAAACGACAGGAGAGTCTGGTATCCCAGGGACGGAGAGAGTTGGCTGGACGGTGAAGGTTTACACTTCAATAAATAATTTGTGCCTCAGGGTCTAAGTTTTTAATCCTGTGAAACCAATTTTGTGGGCTATTAATGTGCTTATAAATCATAATTTACTTGGTCGTCAACATTTATTTATTCAGAGGAAATTGAGGGAGTTGCCTGCTCTACATTCTCACTTACACACATCCATAATATGGAAACATACTGAACGACTTCAGTTTTCTACTGGCAAACACTGTGCCGGTGCAGACTGAAAGAGAGGGTTCTTTTTGAGACAGGAAGGAGTTGCTTATTCATTTTCCACAGGCACAACATTTCAGGAAGCAAACCGTGGAGATACAACTACCACTGCTTCCCCTGTAAAACCCAAACTCCATAAAAAAGCTCTCAATATCCTTAAAAGTTAAGCAACAGGGCTTTACTAGCATTCAAATGCAGATTCTCACAAAATGTTTAACTACCCATCTTGAGTCTCAGACGATCATTTAAAAAAATTCGTCAAAATACAGAAACAAAAGGGAATTCAAATCTAAGTCAAACTGTCAAATTGGAATGAGCAACATTGCTGATATGTTGGTTTTAGTGGAAATGTTGCCAATGAGTGACAAGAAAGGCCAAAAATACAAGTCTTATTCTTACATAGTTTGGACCGGTACATTTTTTTGCCTGTTAAATATCCCTTTCATTATGTTTCTTTAGGCTCCATTTTAGACATCCAGATGTCCTATTCAACAGCGGCATTATTTGTATCTGCTCTTTTACAGAAACAGGTAGAAAATCACGCCACATTTCACCACTTTAGTTCACCGTATCAGAAGACACAGGACAAATGCACAAGTCATTCCAAAACAATATCACTCAAAAGGAAAGCCAAGAAGAAAGTAATGCAAAATCAAACATATTTTAAGATCAAACACAATGCTGAGTTTGGAGCACAGTCCTTCCCGCTGTGGGAGGAGCAGCAGGATTTTCTGCTTAAATAGGGGGGGTCAATTTAGGTCTGAATGTTATAGGATATGCGGAGGGAGTTTGTTCTTCTAAAAACATGCTGTACTTCGTCATTCATATGCATAACAGCTGAGAATGTTCTGCTTTTGTTTTGTCTTCTTTGAGTTTTATAAAATGTCACAGCAAACCGAGCTGTCAAACCGCTTCAGCTGAGAACCTTAAACAAGAGGATCATGAGGTGGAGCCTCCAGAAACATTTATTCATACTGAGGGAAGAGGCCCAACCTGAGAGCTGCACAAAGACGCAGACTGTTGATTGGAGGTGAACGATATCTTTCCACTCAGAAACTGATTTTTAACTGCGTATTAGCTGTCGACAAGCCACGCAATCCCTTTTGATAATCGTACCCTTATTGTCTAAGGTCTATGGGAGGCTATATGACGTTGATTATACAGACATTTCTCTACTCATAGGAAGATATTAATAGCTCAAAGCACAGTCTAACATCATAGACAAATAGAAAACAATTAAAACCGTAAAATTGTTCTAGCATCGCTTTGAACCCCGCAGGAAAAATTCACTATTGTTCTTCAGCAATGGGCCAAAAAGAACAAAGGAGGAAATAGTGTGACATTGTGATAAATGAACAAAGTCCATTGGTTGGAGAATGTGGGGGATATTATTGGACTTTAACACGGGAGTCAACTGTTTGCTTCCTTTCCACGTTTAGTTTCTTTCTTCCATGAACTAACATCTATTTTGTGCCTAAACCTTATATAAATTCCCACTGTTAAACATTTTGTTTTCAACAGTGGCGTGTATCAGTATTGCAAGAAACAAGAAAACCATATCATCCTGTTGAATTAAATGGAAGGCATTAAAGTAGTCTGTTCAGCTTTGCACCGTAGAAATCTGACCACAACAAGTGAACAACATAGATGTTAGCATTCAGACTGGAGGACCTATGAGGCTGACTGACACAAAAAAAGGTCTACTGTGAACGAGAAGGCTGCAAAGACAATTGACTTCACGTTGACCTTCAGTGCGAATAGTCGAACACATGTGGACAGTAAGGTCACACTAATGTCCAGGTGTAGAGTCTAAAGACATTTACCTCACTAATGAGTGACACATGGCTGTAAGTTGCCACATCGTTTCTGAACATGTCGTCTCAGTGTGCCAGTCTACATCCTGCAGCCAAGTCTACAGAAAAAGGT